TCTTTCTCTCGAGTTGTTGCATCTGCCCCCCCCCCCCACCCCACCCCGACAAATTGTAATCACATAACCGGCGATGATTTTACGTTCGTTCACGTACGACTTGTTTTCAAAAGTTTCATCTTCTTCACTGTTGGTATCGTATCAAAGACCCTCCTCTCAGTCACGTGTCGTTGTTTCGTGCGACGAAACGTTTGCCTGCATTGCAAGTCACACGCCCCTCGGAATGAATGTCTCTTTTAATGGTAGAAACGAGTAAGAGAGAAATATCGAGCAAATCGACATGGATTCAGACAGTCTGTGGATTAATCGTTACAGTGGATGATCATAAAGGAATTTCTCTTCCTTGTTCTGTTCACTGCATACAAAACAATGCGTGCCAGCGCGCGAGAGCATATGGGAAGTTAGTTTTTTCTTGTATCTGTTTGCAGAGGAACCAGTTCTACCTCAGACCTTACCACCCGGTGTCACGCAAAAGGATGTCGAGCTGTTCAAGGATGCCCGGGAGAGAGCGGCTCGATTAACCGCCGCGAACGGCGACGGCGTGGAAACGACGACAGTAGTGAGCCTAGGGAACAGCACAGGGAATACTGGGAATACTGGGAGTGGCGTTAGGAATCCCGCGGCCATAGTTTTCGGCCGTTACGAAGTAGAGACCTGGTACTCCAGTCCGTTCCCCCAGGAGTATGCAAGACTACCGAAATTGTTCTTCTGTGAATTTTGCTTGAAGTACACGAAGAGTCGAGCTGTACTTGATCGACACATGGACAAATGCCAATGGAGGCATCCTCCGGCTACTGAGATCTACAGATGCAACGGATTGTCTGTATTCGAGGTACACGGGGGATTTCTTTCCTTTCCATTTGACACTGCAGTGAAACGAAAGATTCAGTTTTTCTATCTTTTCATCTTTTCAATAATGAAACTTCTAATTTCCCTTCCATCTCTGACTTTCAGTTTATCATTTCGGACGGTACTAGAAAAGAACTAGAACTGAACTGTTGATACAATATATGACACATATATATCTCATAAATGGGACGATGAAAGATTCTAATTATTGTGTTTCAGATCGATGGTAACGTGAACAAAATATACTGTCAAAATCTGTGTCTGCTGGCGAAATTGTTCTTGGATCATAAAACCCTGTACTACGACGTCGAACCATTTCTGTTCTACGCAGTAACGAAAAACGACAAGTATGGCTGCCATTTGGTTGGCTACTTCAGCAAAGAGAAGCACTGTCCCGCGCAGAGATACAACGTATCGTGCATCATGACATTGCCGCAATATCAGAGACAAGGATTTGGCAGGTTTCTGATTGAATTTAGTTACCTCCTGTCGAAAGTGGAAGGCATCCCCGGCACGCCAGAGAAACCTCTTTCGGATCTCGGTCGAGTGTCGTATCACTCGTTCTGGAAAAGCGTCGTGCTCGAATATCTTGACGCCCATAGAAACTCCACGGATATCAAGCTGGGAGACATAACGAAGGAGACCGGCGTGTCGGCACACGATATCGCAACTGCTATGCAACTGCTGGGATTCGTTAGATCGGTCCATTTACCCGGCGAGGGGAATTCTAAAGTGGCTGTGGTAGTCGACTGGAGCAAAGTGGACGCTCACATGGCGAAAATACGAAAAAGTTCGCGTATCAAGCTGGATCCTGATTGTCTCAGATGGATACCGCTGCTCACGCAGATTCCCAATCCATATCAAAGTACGGAAGAAAGTGGTGACACCAGTTCCGAGTCCTCACCGGTGGTGGAACCGAAACACGTACCGACGATCGTCGAGAAGATCCAAAAGGTTAAGATTAAAAAGAAACCGAGAGGCAGGAGGCTAGGGCAGAGGCGATCCTCGCCGTTGAAGCAGAAAGCCAGCACTCCGAAATCGAGTGGACAGAAGGATACCATTTCCAAAGATGCGAAAGAGTCGCGAGACGCAAAGACGCTGAAAGAGACGAGGGAATCTAAGGAAACGAACGTGGCCAAGGAAGCGAAAGAGACGAGAGAAACGAAGGACACGGAGAAAAGGAGTCGAAACGCTGTTGCCACGGAAAATGCTAAGGAAGCGATGGAGGTGGAAACGAAGAGCGTTGCGACACCGTCGAGGAACTCTCGCGCACTGGCTGCTTCAAAAAACGTGAATTCAATGAATTCAACGACGTCATCTACGACAACGATCACGACAACGACCACGACTACTACTCTAACGACAACTACGACCACGACCACGACGACGATGTCCAGACGAAGGATTAGAACACCAAAGACACCACTGGGCAGTGCCTCGGTAACGACGACGATGACGACAACGACAACGTCGACTACTCCCCTGCGAAAACGAAAACATTCCGAAAAGACTGAAGTTGAAGAAAAGGAGGAACGGTCCGAAGGTAGTAGTTCCCGAAAGAGAACTCGAGAATCTTTGCGCGAAAAAGAAAAGGACAAAGAACGAGAGAGAGAAAAGGAGAAACTTAAGGAGCGTGACAAACCGAAAGAGAGGGATAACCATCCTAAAGATAAGGACAAGGATAGTACGAACGAGGTGGAGAAGTCGTCGTCCTCTAAGGCGATTGAATCGTCCGTCTCATCGTCCGTTACGCAGAAACCTACGAAAAAGCAATGCAAAGTAGACGATATTTTGTTAAAAGTGACCAGCCGACAATCCAAGTTGCACTTGCAAACGAAACAGGCGAAAGAGAAGAAAAATTTGGAGCAGAGCCAGTGTAACGGGAAAGAAGAGACAAAGGAGGTTAAAACGTTGCCGGTGTCGAGACGGGGAAGAGCAAAAGTCGAGAAGGAAGCCCTAAAAATGCCACAGTTAAAACCGGAAACCCCAACGAAGAGCGATCGACCCGAAACTCCCGTGATACTTCCTCCATCGTTATCCCCGCCGCCATACTCCGAAGAGACTGAATCTCTCTTAAGTATTAAGCAACAGTCGTCACCAGTCGTCGCAGAGCAGCTACTTACAACCCCAGCCAAGAAAGAGGTTTCTAACGCAGCAGAAACTGTAAAGAACAAAGACGATGTTGTTGAAGAAACTGACAATGCCGATGGCGGTAGCACTGATGACGCCTGCGGATCGACCGTTCTTCCGGAAGTAGAAGCGACTGCGTCTGCTAGCCCAGGAGAATACGAGGGAGGAGACGAGGACGAGGGCGAAGAAGAAGTACCTGCACCGAAATTGAAATCTATGACACACGCGAAAAGCGATTTGAGCGGACGAACTGAGAAATCAGAAGACAATGCGCATGAGAAGAAGCTCGAAGACGAGAGCAACGCCTCCTTCGCGTCGAAGCCGACGTCTGAATCGGAATCGGCTGTATTAGAGGAAGAAGTACAAAGAGGAGAGGGCCAGGGCGAGGGTGAAGGAGCAGTAGATAAGGGTGAAGGCGAGGCTGAAAGAGAGGATGAAAGTGAACGGGAACGGGAACGGGAACG